TGGGCTCCAGGAATGGTCGAAGAAATGGCTGCTGAGATTCAATGTCACGAAGTGTAAGAGGATGCACCTGGGGCGTACCAACGGTAAGGAGGCGTATCATATATCCCAACGGGATGAAGAAAATGCACTAGTTGAGACTGTGTGTGAGAAGGACCCAGGTGTGTATGTTGACAATGAGATGAAGTTCTCGGGCCATTGTGAGAAGAAGGTAAATCAGGCAAATAAATTATTGGGTCTTATAAGAAGGTCGTTCAGATATCTAGACGGTCCGTCCCTCGTGACGATCTTCAGGAGTGAAGTGCTTCCCCATCTGGAGTACTGTCACCCCATCTGGTCCCCGAGATATTCTAGGGACTGTCAGTTGGTTGAAAATGTTCAAAGGAGGGCCACCAGACTGGTGCCTGCACTTCGGCACCTCAGCTACCCTGAGAGATTGGAGTGCCTGAACTTGCCTAGCTTATACTACAGACGGGCAAGGGGTGACCTAGTTGAGGTGTATAGGCATCTCAAGGGGCACTACTCAGTCGAGTGTCCTTACTTGGAGCTGGCGGACGCTCGCCCCACAAGGGGTCACAGCTCAAGAGTGAAGAAGCCGCATGTCCAGAAAACCGTGAGGGTAAACTTTTTCGGAGTGAGGGTTGTAAACTCTTGGAACAATCTACCAGAGAGGGTTGTGACGGCACCGAGTGTGAGCTCTTTCCAGACAAGACTTGACCAACACTGGAGCGGGTTCAGGTACATGCAGGAGCCGGTGCATGCCCAGTACTTGCAACATTGCGTGACAGAGACGTGACCGATCACCCGGGCGGCTAGCGAGCCGATCTTTTGGTGAAGAGGATAAATGAAAAGGAAAAGTAATCAGAGACGTGACCGATCACCCAAGCGGCTAACGAGCCGATCAGTGGTGAAGAGGATAAAAGTAAAAGTAGACTTATTGCAATCCTCCCCTACCCAATTTTGTAGGATAACTCCGAATCTATGGGGTATTGACACTGGTCATGACCCATTTATCTTTATTTATGTTTCAGGAATACTACCCCGTATTGCTAAAATACTATACTACAATTTTACTATTCACCTGTGCTACTGTACCAATAATAATAAAAAATAGATTACAGTATTATTATCATTTGTTCTATGGGGTATGTATGTAATGCAAGAAATACATTAGATAATATTTTCACTATCATTTGTATTATTTTTCTTGTGGTACGAGGTAAAGGCGAAGGAGACTCGCTTTGTATCCTGTGCGTGCAACTTGAGGATATGAGTTTGTGTATTTGTACTTGCTGTCTTATCTCTTTCCTGTCACTTTCTTCACACACGTCTTACCCTCCCGGTTTTTTTAGGCTACTCTACCCCTGATCCACGCCACACAACAGTGGGAGAGGAAGAAAGGTAATTTATCTGAAAAAAATTATTTTAATGTTAATGTAACATAAGGATACCCACCAAAATTTATGTACACTACTATATTTTCAATTAAATGTACCGGATCTGTAATAGGTGGACTCTTTTCAACGAGGTCGACAGAGCGTGTGTGAGAAAGTGCTATTGGGAGTTGATTTTGTGACCTTTCTTCAGATTGACCACGGGAAGGTCAGTTGCCCTCGAGTCTCGAGAGGTTAAGTAGCTTAGTAGTAAAACAGACTCCTGCTTGAATCTGTGCAGTAGTGAACTGATAGTTTAATATTAGCAACAACAGTGAGAATTTAGATTAACGCATAATGCGAGTTTCTAGAAATAAATCGTTTGTTTATTTGCGCTGATGAAGTGTGTTGATACTTATTGGTGTCGGACACGAGAACTTTGTTTAACTGTGGCGACGTGACTCAAGGACACAAAAAAACGTAAGTTTAGTACGTGTACCTGTAATTTTGTAACTATAAATGGAAGCCACAGATTTATACCACGTCAAGCCAAGATCCAATTGCGAGAATTTGGGTCGACCTATACGTTTTACTGTTCCCAGGAGATACCCTGCAACATGAGAATTGTGTTATGTTTATAACCATGGCAAAGTATGTGGCTCATCACTGAGTGAAGTAAACATTAGAAAACATTCTTTAGAAGCAATTTGATACAGACTATGAGACCAGATTAACATAAATTTTTCAGCTTTAGGGACTTTGCCCCCTAGACCTGCCATAGGGGTTTCTTCCAGACAACCCTCTCACGAAAGTCTTGCGGAGCCCCTGAGGTAAATGATAAGTTGGATGACCTGGAAATTAAACATCCCAGCTTATTTCACCCGATGATTAAACACCCTGCCGTTGGGTGTTTACTCACCTGAGGATTAGACATCATAATCTTCAAGTGATCAAGTATGTTTATGAAAACATTTGCTGAGTGTCGATTGATTCTTTATGCTCGTTGTTAGCTACGCAGACTTCAAACTATATAACCAGTATCTGATTTAGAGCCACTGTTTTAAAAACCCGCTGAGAGGTCTCTTGAGGCTTGACCAGTCACTGGCCCCTCCTGCTGAAATCGTGACCTGACTTGTGGCGGCAGACAACTGGACACGCCCAAGGCCACACACCTTTTGCCACCCACCCATAACCTCACCCGTGCCCAGGTACACCTATCTAGCCAGGTAGACGTTCTCCCCTAAGAGTTACGGCACGCGCTGCTCTACGAAAACGTGAGGTCAGTGATCTCTTGAAGCCCAGGTGAGTATTTATGGATGTTAATTAAGTCGAAAGAGTGAACTGTGTGAGTGTTATTTATTATTAATAAGTAGACAGATAAACAAGAACTGGCCGGAGAATGGAGAGTGTTTTTATTGTTGTGATGTACTTGTTTCATATGTGTGTGAATACATACATACATACATACAAAATCTCACGCACTTACAGACGTACATTTTAAAGCAAACACACATATGTACATATACTATAAACACACACACACATATGTACGTATACTATAAATACACACACATACATACAGACAACGCCATCACACATATACTGTACGAGTATATACCAACACAATGCAGACTCGGGATAACACACACACACACACCTATCTACCAAGGGAAGCAGACTAACTCACACTTGCGCGATCTGTGGTCTAGTTTATCAGTATTTTCTCCCCCTGAGGTGTGTACTGCACCCGTGTGCTAGAACCTCCAACCACGTACAGTATACTAAATATTTCCAAGTGCTAGCCAGGGCTTCTGCGTTCGTTGTGTAAGTGTATTGGAAGAAGGTGTTGTCTGCAATGTGTTATTCGGTTTTGGATCATTATGGTAGGTCATTTGATTCAGCAACCAAGCAGCAACACACTCGCTACATATGCATCATGTTAATGAAGTGGTACACGCATGGTGATGCAATGCATATGATGCCTGAAAGTGTCCTGTAATGGATGGTGAGTACTTAGGCCTCAAAGTACCTATAGATGTAGGTCAAATGGGCCCACCCTAACCTGACCATTAGGATTAAGGACCATTAAAACTAGGTGTACGGGGTTCCCTATCTGCTAAATAAAATCGTCTGACGAGCCAGGGAAAATATTAAAAGTGGGGTACCTGTAGTGAAGGGGTTAAGTTGAGGCTCATCAAATTCATCATGTGTAAGTTATGATAAACACTGTACGGGATACTGAGACAGCGAGAAAGTTATATCACGATTTATCTGATCAATTGATATTGACATGGGGTCTGGAGATTAGCGGTATGATGTCAAGAACTGGGAATGTCAGTTTCCACGTCCTGGGTTGTGATGGACGCTGTATTGGGGTTGTGATGGACGCTGTATTGGGGTTGTGATGGATGCTATATCGGGGTTGTACTTATGGGTGCTGTATCAGGGTTGTTGTGGATTTTGTACCTGCATTGTCATGAACACTATACTGATGCTATTATGAACATTGCCCAAGTTGCTGTTCATAGTCTACCGGCCTTTTTATGTACCAGGGTTATGGATGCTAAACCGAGAATGTTGCAAACAGAGTAATTATAAGCCTTACGTTATGCATCAATATTTATAAGTTTTATAATGGCCATACGGATAGCCTTTTTTGTTTACTTTCCTCTACCAAAAATCCGCAGGTAACTAATTACGTTATTATATAATTAATTCACCTTGCTATCCAGTTATCCGTATGTATTTATTAATATAAGATTATGTAGTTATAAATATGCATCTACAGTCTATAGATATATGTGTGTGAGTGATTTTTTTTATTGTTTCCTTGTGTGAAGATGACACAAGTGTTGTAGGTGTACAAGTGTGCTGGCTATTTGAACACTTGTGGTTCACGCTACTGCACTATTTTCGTCTCGGTTTCTTTCCGAATTTATTCTTGCGTTATAGCGTTGATCTCACCCTTGTCCCTCCTCGTCTCACACCTCACTCATCTAATTATACTAGGTCAAAATTCATTGGGTTTAATTCGTACTGTCATCATCAAACTTTAATTATGATATTCATATGTTGCTATTGTTCGCGAATTCTAGGACTAAAAGTTATTTATGTAATTATCGTATACTTGGGGAAATAGTAAGTAATTATAGAGGCAGGTGTTCTATAGGCCGAAGAGAGGGAATCGATTGCCTGGCTCTCACAAGGGCAGGAATCGATCGTCTTGACTAACCTGCCAGATTTCACCAGCAGTAAGTTTATCTCTGAATTATTATTTAATTCTATCTCAATTATTACTAGATATTATTAGATTTTTACTATAAATAGATACAAAAAATATAGGCAGACTTAATATTCTGGCAAAATAAAATCAGAAAACAAGAAAAATAAATATATTTTATTTGCGGTGAGGTGGAAGTTTTGTCCTTGCTGCTCATCCATACTATCTCGGCTCTAATGAACATTTTATTGCCTCGTACATAAATATTCTGTCAATAAAACCCAGTTTTATTTTGCAATTTCAAGCTCTATTTAAAACAAGGTGTTCTCAGAAGGGAAAACTCCCAAATGATAACCCAAGAAGGGAAGTTGCGTTGTTTTTAAATTTAGCGGGGCTGAGAGACGTCATCATAGGCTTGCAAGATGGCGGCGGTGTTTGTTGACACTCCACCAGAGAGAAGAATGTAGAAGTTTTTGTTTATTTTGAGTTTAAAGTTGCCTAAATGTTAAGGTAAGTGAACAAGTAACGTTGCAAAAGTATCTTAAGCATCCACAGAAGGTCATGAAAACGCAGCGGTGGTGGTTTTGGGCGACTTTTTTGACGGGTGTTTGATGAAAAAAACTGGCCTGAGCTGGGCAGGGCGCAGAGAGCAGATGGCACAAAATGGGCTGCCGTGACGAGGCCGAGGGGGCTCTTCACCACCTTCCTCGCCCCCTGCTCACTCCCATGACGTTCTCGAGATGATCCTCCCTATGTTTTGTTGGTAGATTGACAGTAATATGAGCTGTGTGGATGGTGTAGGGTGAAAGTTGGATGAATGTGGGTGTGAATGCTTGTGTGTGGTCGTGGGTGAAGGACAATAATATAACACGACCCCCAGTTGACGACAACAAAGCAAAATAAGTGTTATGGCACAGGGAACCACTATCCTTGATGGGGTTGTATTTGGCATGGGGTACATCATGTGGCATTGTCTTGTTGCTGTGCTGTCAACATAGACTCGGGAGCTTGTCAACAGACTTGTCATGTGTTGTCACTGACTGTTGTATATAATATGGGAATTTTTTGTCATTGAGCAAGCTCCTATAGTTTGCATGTGAAGTTGATTATTTTTAATTTGTGCCGTATTGAAGTTCTGAGAGCAATCATCAACTAGGAAAAATTTATTTTATTTATTGTTGCAATTTGTACTATATACCTTGTAAAAAATAAATAGTTTCATTTGTGTAATTTTGCTTGTAAATTCCATTCTAGTGTGAAAAATTACCATAATAGTAATAACATAATTTTAAATCAGTGGGCCAAAAATGGTTCTGGATATTTAGTTTTACCATACTGTACACACTCCAGTATATATATATATATATATATATATATATATATATATATATATATATATATATATGCATAGAAAATGACATGATTTAATTATTAATGAATGAATGTATGACTAAATTATTTTTTAGTGTAAATAAAGTACAGTGCAGTAATTATTGTTTTACTGTAACTGGTGACACAATGAGGTGACTGCTCAATAGCCCTCGAGCTAGTGTATTTTAGCGTGTGACCTGGCTAAGCCACTTCCTTTTTTAAATTGCCATAGCGTCAAAGGGAAGATATTTGTCAAGTTTAAGTTAATAAATTCAAATTAATTTATTCCATTTACTGGTACAGTACCATATTTGCATTAAAAATAATTTTTGATATTCAGTCAATTTGACCAAGGACAGCTGACAAAGCTATGAGAGGCCTTCTAGTAGAGATCTTATGCCAGCAGCATCTGGTGTTCTAATGGCCAGGTGGTCACCCATCCAAGTACTAACCAGATCCAATGTTGCTTAACTTTGCTGATGAACAATTTAGTAGCTAATAACCTTGTAGAAAACAAACCTATATTAGTAAGAAATACTGAACCTTTAACTGTCATAACTAGTGTCTAATTTATTCATTTTGGATTTTCTGTGATCTTTTGGAGAAATATAAGGTCTCTGATTTTAAGATTTGCAGAGTGAACCAACAGTACCAGGTACTTGTGCTAAGTTTACCTAAATATACTAAAAAGTATTGTAAGTTTGTTAGGTAATTCAGTTTGTTTGAACATGTCAGTTACAGATTGACAGTGTCGACTGTTTTGGCAAGAAATTTTACTTATTTATCACTGTAAAGAATTTGGATAATGAGAATGTTGAAAAATGTCTGACTGAGAAAATTTTAATTGCAATACTGTACTGTACTGTACTGTACTGTACTGCACTGTACTAGCCATTATTTAAACAACAGTGTAGTGTTATGGCTATTGAACATAGAAGAAAACCATTGAAAAACCAAAATGGTGTACAATGCATACTGGTAGATTGTAATTTCTAGAGTGTTAAAGAAGTTAAGAACAGCTTTTAATCTACAAAAGGATGTAAAATAACTACAGTAGCTAGTTGAAGAACAGTAAAATAATACAGTATGAGAATGATAAATATTTTTACCTTACACTAAAATTTTTACATATCTATTCCTCATTGTGCTGTTAGCTACAGGGTCACTGTATTAATATACAGTAATGAAAAAAAAAAAAATTGCCAGGTCATAATTATGTTGTGTGTTCTTGCCCACTTTATGCCGACCACTTGTGAGTGTTTGACTCCGTGACCCTCGTACATTTGTTCAGTGGAAACTTTTAAGGCTTGGTGTATATTGGCAAAACTTGTTACATAAATATTTGACTATTTTTTACTTTCACTAGTTTTGAAAAACATTGTATGAGAATAAGGTTGGCACCTCTACCTACAGTAGCTAGAGTTCACTCAATTTTTAATGATTTAAACTGTTCATTTTTAATTATGTAAACTGCATTAGAATAATATAAATCTAGAGAGAGGTATCATATGGAAGCACAATATTTTGATATGATAGTGAATTTTCACATTTAGTCATGTTGTAGTTAAATATCTGATGTAGTTAAGGAGACGGATTGCTGGGAGTTGGGCCTCCATCTTCTTTATAACATTTTATTTTTGCCTAATGACTATTGTCGTTGATTACTTTAGGAATTTTACTTGTTTATTTCTGAGCGTGAGTTGGTCACCCATGACTGCTGTGATGGTAACATTGGTAATGTGTGGACTTGCTTAATCACTGTTGATAGATTTTTGCCTGTTCCATCTTATTTTCTTGATACTGTACTGTATTAAGTTGGGAATTTATTTTAATCTGTCTGAGGCCAAATATGTTATTTGCTTCCTTAGGGGGGCATTGTTGCTTAGGTTTTCATCTCAGTTTGGTGGTCAGTGCAGCACTGGTTGAGCTTCTTGTTCAAGCACAAACCCCTAATGAATCATCATTCTTGAATGAGGGGTGGATAAAGTACTCTGCAGAGGCGCCAATTGTCCTGATTGATCGTGCTATTGTGTCATTTTGGGGCCACCTCACAGTTGGTCTTGAAGTTGGAACATGGGAAAAGACTTTGAGTCTTAAATTTTGCTGTCTTATGAGAATAAGTATTTTTACTCTATGGTGTCACTGACCACTGTGGAAGTTGCTCTCTCTGTGCTACATGGTTAGGATGTCAGTTCATACATGTGTAGATTTTTATCTTTGATATCTAAGCAGGGATCAGTATTTCTGCACACATATTTTCCATAAGAATGGCCTGTTAAATACGTATATTGTACATATTCAGGTGTATCGATATTTTTGTTTTCCCTGTGTTGTATGTCTACATAAATCAGTTAGACTTATAAACAGCTACATACTTATGTGTTTGCATTAGTTCTCTGCCCTTTCATCATTTGTGTATTTTCTGTTTGAATTCTTTAGTCCTCTGAAAGAATTTTTATTTTACTGTACAGGATTACAGTACAGTAGTTTTAAAATATAGAAAATAACTTTACAAAGAAAGGCCTCAACGAAATAATGAGTATTTTCCATGTTAAATGCACACAATAGCTGGACAGAAAAAAGATTGCCATTCTAGGATTGCATCTCTTACTTAAAATTACCCCTTTAGTACTATACACACTGTAGATGTAATTTCAGTTTGAATCTCAAAAGATGTAAAATTAACTTTTATTGACCTTCATGGTATTGTAGCCATTAGTTGTAAAGTTAACAGATCTGCTCCTTACATGATATTGTTCTATGTTCTAAACATTGTGTTATTCAACAGGCAGCAGACGAGTGGCGCAGCACACGTTAGCTGTGACCTCTGCTCCAGAGTAACTGTGAGCATCACCATCACACCTCGGAGGACAGCCACGTCCTGCCACGCTGCACCATGTTCCACCGCTTTCACGACCTGAAGGCGGGGCAAGACTCTGAGATGGTAAGATAAGAGTTTTATTGCCTCAACATAGAACATGTTGTTGGATCATATTATGGTTTTTAATGACAGTTTTCAGGTTATTTTATTTGGTTCCTGCTCTTTTACATTGTTTCTGCAGGATGGGGTGCATTTAACAAACATCATCTCTACAGTATATCTTGAAACTTGAAATAGTACAGGGTAATTGTAATACATGTACTGTATATAACAGAAAAACATAAGTCATACAGCAATCACAAGTTGAATGAGAAAATAATATAACACATGAAGCATTGGTGTAGTGGATTTATATTATTTGATTTTAATAATTAAGAAAATTTGTCAGAATTAGTTAATCTGTGTAACAATAAAACAAAAAGTGTTATCATTCCTTTTCTATTCTTTTATTTCTATTTAATTCTTATATACTTACTTTTGCTTCTCTTTTCTTTCTTTATTCCCCATTTTCTGTATCTTCTTGTGAGATGATGGAGGTTAAAGACGGAGGGGAAGTGAGAGAGAGGAAGGTATTTGTTTATGTTTGAGGGGAGGTTGTGGTCAGGCAGTGAGGCCTACCGTTAGACCTCACACCAACAAGGGGAGATTGAATAGCTGAAGATTAAGATACAACTCTTAACAGAGGGGAAATATGAAATAGTTATTATTTAGGACTCACTGTATTACTGCATAATGCCAAAGATATGCATGACAATGTTTTACTCAGCACAAGGGAATTGGAAACTAATCATAATGGTTCTTCGTTTATTAACAACATTACAGTGGTCCCTCGGTTAACGAACGCCTCGGTTAACGAAATTTCGGTTAACGAACTGCCTCCCAAAAGATTCTTAAATTCGGTTAACAAACAAAAATTCGGTTAACGAATTTCTTACGAACTGACCTCAACATGTTTTCGCTTGCACTGGCCGGTCAACCAGCTTTAGTATTAGTCCGCGAATACATTAATCGGTTCTAGGGCTTAAATTCCTTACTATTTTAGTAAATATCAAGAAGTTTATACTATTCAATAATTTTAAAAGTTTAATATTAACTTTTTAGTCATTTTAACATTTATTGAACATAATTGAAGGTAAAGAAACTATTTTCTGGCGTGCCATCCAGCCTGTTAACACACCAGACAGACGTTAGTCTCTCTCTGTTTTCAGTGGAGGTAACATCTTGCTTGAGACTCTCTTCAACTAAACGCTTTTTTCTGTGTCTCCAAGCAAATTATTGGTCATTTTGAAATATATTTTACATATTGACAATATATAATGCAGTGCAGTGTTGATTTAAAGAAAATAATCTTGAAATACACCAAGAGAACTAAAATTTTATGTGTGAAATGGTGCCATGGGGTGACTTCTCTTCCACCCCAATGCTTTCTCTTCTTCCTTCTCCTCCACCTCCCACTTCAAATGCACATCATCATCATCATCCAGGAGCCTTCTACATACACACCTCAAAGTAAATGAACTTTTCTCCCATTTTTGTTGAATTTAGGCAATTTTCGGTGAGCTGGAACCAATTACCCAAAAACCCATTGAAACAATGGTTTCGGTTAACGAATTTTTCGGTTAACGAACAACCTGCTGGAATGGATTGTGTTCGTTAACCGAGGGACCACTGTACTCAAAATGAACAGTTACACTTCAAAACAATAACTTATCTTTCTAGCTAGCTAACCAGGGGTCACATTACTGTAATCATAATACATTTCTTGAAAACGTATAAAAACTAAAAGGTACTCGCATTATATCCTGCTATGTGAGATGACACCCATATGCCCACACTTAACTCTGTCCAAAACCCGACTGTTTTTCAAACTGTCACCCACAAAGGGGACGCTACATCTTCACGACGTCACGTCCTACAGGTTCTCTTATTGGTTCAGGCCTGAGGCATTCACTCTCACAGGTCCCTGCCATTGGCTCGAACCCTCAGGCGGGAAACACTCATGACATTGTTACATCCGATAAAAAGTGTTAATGGTTTCATTGGGTGCCTGTATCTGGCACAGTTCTCAGAAAATCACAAGGATGTTTCTAGTGCTTGGGCAGTTTGTGATAATGCTTCGTGAATGACAATGTTCGACTTTTATAGTTTTATACATAATGTTACAAGTATCATGTGACATTGTACAAGAGATATACTGTACAGTAAAGCCTCGAATAACGACTGTAATGTGTCCTCCAATATTGCAGTGTAAGGTGAATCATTGTATTGTGAATCATTAATTACCGTTAAAATAAATCAATAATAATGAGGTGCGTTCCAAAATCTGACCTTTTCATGTTTTTTGTGTGGCTTTTTACCCTCTTTTCCTCCAAAACCTCAGAATTAATGAAAAATGTAAACTATATTCTTTAAATAATGTTTATGAATGCACCTTATACAATATAAATCAATCATAATATGGTCACAAGAGGAGATGGGACTCCATTGTTTTTGTTAGTATTTACACCCGGGACGATGGTTCTACATAAGAAACTGAAGAAAATAAGACCCTGGTTGTAGCTGTAGTAAAATTAATGTAAAAAAATTAATATATATGTTTTAAGTAATGTTATTTAATGTTAATAAATCGAACAATAGAAGTAGCAAAGAAAAAAAGCGAAATGGATTGGGAACACCAGCGTATACGTGTGTGCACTCAAGGAAACAGCGTCATTTATCTTATGAGGAATATGTACAAAAGATTCATTATTGTTTATTACTGAATATGTATTTGATTGAATTAATGATTATGTATGCGAAATGAACAATACAATTCATTAATACTACGTAGATTATTAAAACACACAAGAGGAGACGAGACGGCATTGTTGTTGTCAGTGTTTACACCCATAATATCAGTTATCCACCTGAAACTGAAGAAAATAAGACCGTGGTTGTTGTTGTAGTAAGATTAATGTAAAAAAATGTGTACGTTTGTTTTAATTAATGTTATTTAATGTACAGTAAAAGTAACGACTGATGTTAAAGAAAAAAGCGAGACTGATAGTGGAACACCAACGTATACGTGAGCACTGAAGGAAACAGCATCATTTATCTTATTAGGAATATGTACAAAAGATTCATTATTGTTTATTACTGAATATGTATTTGATTGAATTAATGTTTATTTATGCAAAATGAACCATACAATTCATTAATAATACGTAGATTATTAAAACACACAAGAGGAGACGAGACGGCATTGTTTTCGTTAGTGTTTACACCCGTGACAATGGTTCTACGTATGAAACTGATGAAAATAAGACCCTGGTTATAGCTGGAGTAAAATTAATGTATATATTTTAAGTAATGTTATTTAATGTTAATAAATGGAACAATAGAAGTAGCTAACCATTAATGGTAAAGAAATAAAGCGAGACGGATTGGGAACGCCAACGTATGTAATTGCGTACATGTAAAAACATATCGTCATTTCTCGACATAAGAATATGAAAGCAACATTTATTACTGTTCATATATGTTTTAAATAGTACTTACGAATGTAAAAAAAAAAATTCTACTCACCAATGGTGGTAAAGTCTAAAACATAAGGACAGCCAATGATGTTGTGTGAGTTTTTACTCAGTTGACGAAGTCGTCAGGTTCAATTCTGGCTGAAGCTGTAGTTTTCCATAAAGCTGTCATAGCTGTTGCTGAAACTGTTACTGAACCTGAAGTTGTTGATGAAGCTGCTTATGACACTGAATTTGATGGTGTAGCTGAAGTTGATGGTTTAGGCCTTCGAATAATAAAGCTGTCGAAAGAACCTTGCACAGCTGCTTTCTTTTCTCATTATACATCTTTATGTAGAGGTCATTTGCGTTTTTCATGTCCCCGTAAATTTTAATGCTTCGTTCTGCTAATGGATCCAGTTCTGAAAATATGTTCATTGCTTGCTCCATATAATATCCACAGACCTTTCACCTTTTTCATATCATTTTAATACATCTATTTTCTCAGCTAAGCTTATAAACTTTCTTTTAGCTTTTGAATCAGCACTGCCATCACTTGCTCTGTTGCTTATGTTGAATAGGGACTCAAGAATTCCCTAAGAAACCTGTGAAAGGTTTTCTCCTTTTCCTGTTCAGATGTGTGAAAACAAAAGGCTGACCAAGCTGCGACTGTTTATACTAGTGATGCTGGTGTCACCACTCACAAGCCTGGCAGCCTCCGAGCGCAAACCGTGTTTTTTTTTTAATACAGTGGTTTTCTTGGTTAACGAACACAGTTCGTTCCAGAGGGTCGTTCGTTAACCGAAACCATTGTTTCAATGGGATTTTGGGTAATTGGTTTCAGCTCACCGAAAATTACATACAAAGTAAAAAAATGCAGTAAAGTACACTTACTTTGTGGTGTGTATGTAGAAGGCTCCTGGTTGATGATGGTGATGATGGGTATTAGAAGTGGGGATGGAGGAGAAGGGAGAAAGAAGGAAGTGGGAGTGGAAGAGAAATCACCCCATGCTTGATGCTGTCATTTCACCCATAAAAGTTTAAGTTCAATTGGTGTAATTCAAGATAATATTCTTTAAATCAACACTGCACTATATATTGTCACTATGTTAAATAAATTTCAGAATGACCAATAATTGAACTGTAAAAACGTAAAAATACTCTTGTGTTCAAGAGACCCACAAGCAAGATGTTTCCTCCACTGAACAGAGATACATACTGAGGCCTTGGTGGATGAGTGAAGTGGCTGATGGGCACACCAAAAACTAGTTCCCTGTACTGCAATTATGTTAAATAAGTGTTAAAATGACTAAAAAATTAATAGTACAACCTTCTTGATATTTACTCCAATTTTAACGAATATAAGCCCTAGAACTGATTTCTGTATTGGCGGACAAATTTTCCAACTGGTGAGCAAGTCAAAGCATGTTGAAACTTTTTTTGCAAGAATTTCGTTAACCGAATTTTTTTTTCGTTAACCGAAATTAAGATCCTTATGGAAGATAATTCGTTAACCGAAATTTTGTTAACCGAGGCATTCGTTAACCGAGGGACCACTGTAATGCATATTGG